GCTGAAGAATTCCAAACTGTTATTACTGCTATAGTTTTGATATAATTTATTTAAATATGTAATATTAACTGATGATGGCAAATGCAGCTCCCCAAACATCAGCACTAAATTCATTTTTCATCTTAAATCTGCTTCTGCTGCCTGTTCCTACCTCGTTTCTGTCCCCCACAAGCCTGCATCTTGAGTGCTGCAGTGCTTTCTAAAGTGTCGTTGGTTGTAAAATTTGGAGTAGATGTCTTTCTCTCCTCAAAGGTTTGCTTTGTTGAACATTTCTGTGTATTTTTCTCTCCTTTTTTCATCTTTTTGACCACTGCCTCATATTAAAAGTGTATTTCCTCATGTATTGAAACCAAAGAATCTTTTCTCATAATAATGATGAGGGGGGAAACCACAAACTAACACCCTGTAACAGAGGAAGGAGGAGGAGGTTCATGTGTTATGTGAGTGAACTGATGCAAGAAGAATTAATTCAGCATCAACAAAAGACAGAATGGAGAAATCATTTCTTCTGCTTTGTAAGTATACTGTAATGGGTTTCATCTTTGAAAAGGCCTAAAGATGCCACTTCTTTTGTTTCTCCACATAAATATCGAGTTTGCGTAGAAGACAACAAAGAGAGAATCACTTCCTGCTTATTCTGCTTATTCTGCATGAGTCTGTAGCTCGATCAAACTGTGTAAAACCTCTAAACCAACCTCTGTTTCATTTCTCTTTAGTTCTGATCTCACTGCTGAGCTACACCACAAACCAAGGTCGGTAACCTTCTCTTGTCCTATTTTAAACCAGAAATAAACGACACATTTTAAAGATTAAAATTTATTGACTCTCGTGAATATGAATGAATATTTTCAACCCAAAAGTTCTGTTAAAGTTTGATCACGATGAAGATGCTGTTGTTTGACATAGTTAATGATGATCACCAGGAATGTTATTTCAGCCCTAAGTGTTTATGAAAAATATAATATAAATATACTAATATAGATTTTCATCACAGCTCTTCTGACTGTGAGTCCCAGCAGCTCTCAGATGTTTGACGGAGACTATGTGTCTCTGAGCTGTGAGGAGGACGACAGCTCTGCTGGATGGACTCTGAGGAGAAACACAAGCAGAGAAATCAGAGCTGAGTGTGAGGAGTGGGGAGCAGCAGCTGATTCTTCCTGTAACATTAGCAGTGTCCTCCCGTGGGACAGTGGAGTTTACTGGTGTGAGTCCAGAGAGGGTCCCATCAGTAACATGGTTAACCTGACAGTCACTGGTAAGCTGAGTGTGTGGAGTTAGTGTTGATGAAGCTGTGTGTAAATGGATGAAATGCTGTAGTTTGTCTCTGTGTTGAGACGGATCAGTGATCCTGCAGAGTCCTGTCCTCCCTGTGATGGAGGGAGATGACGTCACTCTGCTCTGCGAAGAAAAGAATTCCTTCAGCCTCCCGGCTGCTTTCTATAAAGATGGCTCCCTTATCGGCAACGAGGTCACAGGTCACATGACCATCCAGCATGTTTCCAGGTCTGATGAAGGCCTCTACAAGTGTGACATCAGCGGTCATGGAGAGTCTCCATCCAGCTGGATCACTGTCACAGGTGAGGAGCTTCACTCACATTTTACCATTTCACCTACAAATTCACCTGAACAGGTGGGATTCTCTCTGCAGATAGGCCTGCAAACACAATCCTACACCCATCCTCAGCACCACCTCCTGACCCCACCTCCCTCAACCTTGTGTTCAGCGTTGTCTCTCACCTGGTGGTAATTTGTCCATACTTCATCTCCACTCTGCTCATGGTGTCTTTATATCGACACAGAGCCAAAGGTAACACTCCGAGTCTCCTCTGATTTTTTTCATCAGTTTCTTTTGTTTCTATTAAAAATGTCTCATCTTACCTCCTGTCTATGCTAGCATCCCTGCCGACCCAAGCTGAGCAGAGACAGACTGAGGACTTTGATAACATTGTGGAGGTGACCACTGAGCATCACTTCTGAGTTGCACAGTAAGAGTTCCTGTTCATTCAGTCAGAAGGTGGATGTCACATCACCGTGGTTAACCAATGAAAGAAATCTGCAATACACTGTTTACTAATGCAAACATTTTGTTTGTTTTATCAGCACTGCCAAGTGATTTAAAAGCAGTATGCACTGTTTCCTACTCTTCAGTCAAATGTCTTATGCTAAGTTCAGAAGAAGTTCTTCACTGGTGCAGATGTTGCATTTTTCTTCCCACACATTTCCTTGCTTTGCTGTCAATAAAAAAAACAGCAACAGATATTTGCTCAATAAAATAACAGTATTTATTTGTTTTTGTTTTGTTTTTTTTATTTTAAGGGTTTCACTTCACAAATAGTGTAGCTCTGTCTGGAGCCACACTTTCAGCTCATGAATGGACTCCAGTAACTTGCAGAGCCAAAGCCCCTTTATCTGATGACACAAAGAAACTTGTTGTCAGCATCTACAGTGATTTTTACCATTTAGTCAAAAATCTATACACTTTTGTTCCTGTATTTGGCTTTTTTAAATGACAGTTAGCAGTGGGTGTTCTTTTTATTCTTTACTGTTTTTTTTTCTCAGCCTGACAGTAAAAGAAACTAACAGGTCTGTAGCCCAGTTTCCTGTTTTCTGGTAAAACGGCTTTAACCAACACGGCTGACGTCTCACTGCAGGACATTTAAGACGTGCATGCACACAAGTCCACACACCACACACGTTGCTTATATGAGTGCACATTTGAATATTCTACAAACTGAAATCGATATTTCCTATTTGCAGCTTTTGACAAGCCACATAGTGGAGACAGCAAACATGTCAAAAAAGGTTCTCTGGTCAGATTTAACGTCTTGACCTTGCAAAATGCTGCCTACAAATTATTGACTCAGGTGGTCTGAATACAAATGCAGAAACATTTTTCAGATTCTTATATGTAAAAAAACAACAACTGAACTCCATGTACTATTTTTTTCTTCCACTGCAGAATTATGGGCCAATTGTCAAAGGAGCTTGGAAAGAAAAACGTCTGGACTTCTTCTACGATGACCTGGATGACTGAGAACCTTCACAGACCCCCACCCCCCCCACCCCCCTGACACTTACTAATTCTCATCCTCCCTCTTGATCATAGAGGCTCAGGGTGTTGGAAATTATGCCATGGTCAGGGTCGGAATCCTCATCAACGCGTCCAGTAAGAGTCCCAGACTAGACCCTCCTTTCCCACATTTACCTAAGACTGATATACAAAACACAATATACAAACTAACTGAGAAAAGACAATCATGTACAGGGTTGTTTGTACACATGATATTAATCAACAATGTATTTCATTCTAACTGTTTTTTTATTTCTAATTGTGGTTGCTTTACTGTACAGATTTCCCTTAAAAATGTTCAACATTAAAGACTTTATAAATCTTGTTTAATAAATGTGATATTTTTCCACATTGGTCGATGTCCTTATTCTAAAAACTTATTACAATATTTCAATAAGATTTGTTAAAGTTGCCTTTTGGTTTATAGTTAAAGGCAATAGCCAAAACACATCAAGGGTAAAATTCAAACAGTTCCACTTAGAAGAAATTTCTTGAAGCACAAGTCAAGAAAAAAAATAAAATGAGGAGAAGCTCCCATTTCCCCCTTTTCTGTTTCACATCTTGACTGAACAATTTTACAGATAATACATCTCAACACATCTTGATAATTTGTTTTAGAGTTTTACAGGCTCACTTTCTTCCCCTCTTTTATTCAACTCCCCCTATTTTTTATTCATCGGACAGAGAATTAAACACCAGCTTGTTCTGCCAGCATTTTAAACCTGTGCTTGCATGGAGTCAGGACCATTCTCATACACATGTGAAGGTGGTTATTGTTGAGCTTGAAACAATATTTAATTTTTAGTATTTCCATTACTGAGAAAACTGTTTCACTGTTGCGTGTGGAGGTCAGACCTGGGAAACCGTGTCGGGTATTAAAATTGCTTTGAAATAGTTGTATCTGCTTGGACACCAGGCAGTTGCATCTGCGGTGTCATCATTTACCCATGAAATCCTCTATTTTTGCTTTTCACTTTCCTTTTTGCAGAATACCTTTTCTTCATTATTTTTCACCTCTGTCTTTTCTCAGCTTTCTCTGATGCAGTTGTTTGTATCTTTGCATGTGTACTGCAACTGCAACTTGCCTCCAACTCTCATCTGTCTGCACTCTGGAGTTGCAGTGTTTACTAGGGATCCTCTGGCCAATCCAAATATTGATATCATGCTGGTATGAATGCTGCCCCTGTAATTCAGATGCACTGCTGTAAAATTCTCGTCTGTGACATTACTAGCTTATTTGAAGACATAAAAGTCGAAGAAAAAAAAAAACCGTTGTCCCAAAACAGGCAGCAAAAGAAACAAAGAGAGGAGGAAAGAAATCCCGAGACAAACTCAGATCCTGAGCACAGTGGTCACTGTCACAATCCTTTTCAGAGAAGGACAGAATAACCAGGTAGTGCACGTGGTCACTGATGAAAGTAATGTTTCAGTCATGTTGGATTTTCAGCATCATGTTAATATATTACTGATATGACTACTATCAGTTTAGACATTCAAATAATTCATTCAACCCACTTAAACATGTTTAATTATTTTATTTGAAAATCAACAACAACAACAAAAGCGTCAGACCTTCACTGCCCAGTCTATTTTATTTAATAACATTACCGTAGTTATTGCTTTGTTGACCCCTACATAAGCTGCATGTAAAGGTTCAAACTGTGTGTGTCACTATTGTTACTGGAAATAATGGCCCTGTATTTATTTAGTATTGGATCAGTGCCAGAAAAATGACAGAAGCGCTAGGTATCACGTGGGATAGCTTAACTCCTGAACTCACATCCAGCTGGCATCTGCAATTAAACAGCTACCGTAAAGAAGATAGCTTGTTTAAATGAAAGAAACGCAATGTTTAAATCATACTACTTTTTGTTTTATTGTTTGTTTGTTTTTGTTTTTGTTTTTGTAGCTGGGTCCTTATGGGACAGCTTCCGGGTCTAGGTTCGGACCGCCTGATAAGTTGTGTGTGATTTTCCGAACAATTTATCAACTTTTTTTGCGTGGGATCGGTCGTATGCAGTGTGAATTGCCTCCCGCTAAAGTGGTGCCATTTTTTTCTTAAGTTTTTGATTTAATTTAGTTTTGTAAATTGATAAATGCCATTTTAAACGTGGACTTGTAGTAGGAAATGTAGTTTATTGTCTTTTTGGGGTCCTTCCAACCTCACAGCCACGCCTACGCCGTCATCGAGCTCCGCTTCCGCCTCTTTGCTATGAGGATTGTTGTTGCTAACATTGCACTTTTTTTCTTTTATTTTGTGCCCTTTGCGGCTCCTCTGGATCAAGGTGAGTTACAGCAGGGGATGGGTTGTTTTAAAGGATCCTTACAGGTCTCATATTTCACGTATCTAACTTTCTCTCTACGCCATAACGGTGCCTTTAAACCCAGCCGATATCTCAGCCCTGTCTACATTTAACATTTATGACTGCAGGGTTTCTCCGACAGTGTTGGGCAAACTCCAGATAAAATCATAAGTCGGATTAATCATCTTTAATGAACTCTCAAACTTGGAAAGTCGAAGAAGCCCCACCAAGCCCGCGTTAGCAACAGCTTATTGCTTACATTTTAAAACAGACTGCTCAGCTGATGTAACCGTGTGTTCCTGCACTGTGCCTGACAATGAAAGGCAAAAAGAAAGACTTCCACGGAAACAACTTGCCCGCTCCAGCTCCTACACCCAATACAAACACTTGGGATGAGAGTTAGCTCAACCCACTACACCTTCAAAGCTACCAGGAATTATCTGCTCATGCTAGCATTAACACACACACGATCAGAAACATCAGAGTGGATAAAGATATAATTAATCTCGGAAAAGAAATGACATAGACCTCCTCTACAGGGGAATTATAGAAAAGGGGAGAGGCCGTAGGGGTACCCCAAATTTATAGGGTTGCACCAAAGAAGAGGAAAAGGATGAAGAGGGGCTCTAACTAATAATGAAGATAACTACAGGCTTGCAGGTCCTAAAAGTCAGCTATACCAGGAACAGTTTGGGGTTTACAATACATTTTGTGTAATAACAATATGTGATTCATGACCCTGTTACACTGGCTACAAAAATATAAGAAACAGATTATACATCTTTTACTGTAAAAATCCGAGTAATCAAAGTTTATCATCACGTCCACTTCTGCTTCTGATCACCAAGCCCACAGCCTCTCATTGTCCTCTCAGTGTCCGCACTGCCCAGCTCCGCTCCTCAGGCCTGAAGACTGTCGGATTTCACTCTGGACTCAGTTCAGTTTAGCTACAGCTCCCCTGCTGCTCAAAACAGCCAGCAGTCTTGTTATACATAAAATATAGAAATTACCTGATTTGCAAGAGCCTTTATGACTCAGAGAGTAGATACAGTCTTATTTGACACGTCAAATATCTTGATAGAAATGTTTTTGTTGCAGTTTCTGCTGCCCTCTCAAACACATCTCTCTTGAAATGCATATGTAATCACAGGGAGACTTTTTACCTGGATGGATAAATAAAGGATACACAACCTTCAACCTTCGTTGAAGGTCATTTTAAAAAGAAGGAGCCGGAAAATAAATAATAATAATTACAATACTAATTTTACTTGTATGGTTATTTTTTTTTCATCTGTATTCTCCGTTTGTTACTCATAGTAAACAGTGAATTTTGTGTTTATATCACTCAGAGGTAACTGCGAGTCCTGGAGCAGATGCCATTCTTCAGTGTCAGGGATGTGGAGATGTGGAGATCACCCTGTTGGAGTGGAGCAAACCTGAGCTTAAGTCCGATGGCTATGTATACTTCTACAGAAACCAGCGTCTATATGAAAACTACCAGCACTCGTTCTTTAAAGGCCGAGTGGAGCTGAGAGATCCATCAATGAAAGATGGAGACTGTTCAGTGATTCTAAGGAATGCCAGCATCAGGGATGCAGGAACATATGAGTGTCGCGTTACAACCAGAAGAAGTAAGGGCGTCCAAAGTGAGTTCAAGCACTCCATCAAGCTCACAGTCAAATCCTCAGGTGAGTTTGTGGAAGTGTTACAGTTTCTTCCATAGGAAGTTTTACATTTTGCAGATGTGATGTTATTGTTGTGGTTGGTGCTATTAAGTTATTTCCCACTTCCATTGTTTGTTTTTGCATGATGGGGATCTAAAGTTTCATCAGATTTTTTTTTCTCTTTTTTTATCTGTACACCAACACTTTGCATTTAACTTCAGCTTTAAATATTCAGAAAGTGCTGTTATTTATACATGATTCCTAAACTTGATTCAAAGTGTTCGATGTGTATTTTATAGTTTTTCACTTTGACCTTAAATAGGAAGCCCGAAAGATGCTACAAAGATGTGAGGGAGCCAATAACTGGGCTTAAAAGTTCACGTAAACCAATCGGAGAGAGAGAGCATAAACTTTAGGAGTGACATAAATGAAAATCTGTTGCATTGTTACAAAGAATGAATGTACTGACCTCGGGCTGTGAGATGTGACCAACGTCTCATCTCAATACAAACAGTTCTCATCCCAATAACGATATATATCACAAAATAGTGCTTTTTCTGAAAGTTCATTGAACACAGCTGGGCGTTGTGTACCTGGAGTCGAGTGTTTTGACCGATGCATGAAACGATACATTTTTAGACATAAGTTGTAACGGCCGCCATTTTCTTTGTATTTATTACACGGCGTGCTGCGGGGAAAAGCCTGTTCTAACGTTTGAGTCTAAGGTTTATTTTGAGCACTTGACGGCTCTTTTTTGCTTCTCATGCGTAAACTCTCTCCGTACTCTTTCATGTGATTCTGGTGATTGAAGAGGTTTGTTGTCTTTGAGTTTGTGGGGGGGACCGTTTTGCGGTAAAATTTAGTATAGATTTCATAGTACAGTTTTCTGTCAGATGTTGCATAACCAAACCATGTCCATGCTACAGAGGTAGCCTCTTGCCTTTAGGAATAAGGTCCTCCATTTGTTTTGACTGGTCCTTCTGTTTGGAGCTACCTGGTTCTGCCTCATCTTAACTGGCCATGCTGGTATTCTCTGTGCCTGCATCCACACGGTGACCATTGAAACAATGAAAAATATTGCCGTAAACAATATTATGCGACACCACGAAACAAGAGATAGCTTATGATATGAGGCGATAGACATTTTAATTTCATCATCCGATATATATTGTCATATCGCGCAGCCCTATACTGACCAGTTCAGCAACACCAAAAGGCCTGAAAGACCACAGAAAACAACTATGGTAAATGGTAAACGGCCTGTATTTGTATAGCGCTTTACTAGTCCCTAAGAACCCCAAAGTGTTTTACACATCCAGTCATGCACCCGTTCACACACACATTTAAACACTAGTGATGGGAAGCTACATTGTAGCCACAGCTGCCCTGGGGCGCACTGACAGAAGTGAGGCTGCCGGACACTGGCGCCACCGGGCCCTCTGACCACCACCAGTAGGCAACGGGTGAAGTGTCTTGAGGCACGACTAAAGTAGATGATGACAGAATTATTTCAATTGTTTTTAAAAAAGAAAAAAAAAAGCCTTGGCACGACTCTCAAGGAGAGACAGCAATCTCAATGTCAAGTTCTGCAATGAAGGCAAGCCTTTATGTTGGAAATAGAAGTGTTTACAACAAGGTGCAAATGAAGATTACACTCAAGACCAGCAAGGCCAGATTAGACG